CAGAGATTGGTAGTCCAGTTGCTGACGCTGATTTGCGCTCTGCTGCGATCAACGTCTCTGAGCGTGCGCCTGAGCGGGTTGGCGCGGCAGACGCTCTTGCTCAGCACATTCAGCGGTCCCTGTTGCCGCGTGCCGAGCTGTCTCCGTTTTCTGGTAATGTCCAGGAGTATCGTTTGTTTCTCAGGACCTTTGACATGTGTGTGGCTAACCGCACCACCGATCAGAACGAGCTGCTCGCGTATCTGGAGCAGTTCACGCGCGGGCGTCCAAACAGGCTGGTCAGGAACTGTCTACATCTTGGCGAGAGTGGTTATCAGAGAGCCAGGTCGGCTCTAGAGCGAGAATATGGGAACCCACACGTTCTCATAGACTCGTACGTCAATAAGCTGCGATCTTGGCCCAAGGTTGCTTCAGGTGACGTGCAGGGCCTCGATCAGCTGGTTTTGTTCCTTGTTGAGGTGGAGAATGCGATGACGACCATCAGCATGGGTGAGCTGGAACATCCACGGACTCTGCGCGAGGTGGTTCAAAAGCTGCCCACGTGTCTCAGAGATCGCTGGCTCCGTGAGGCTGATAGGCTGATGGAGCAAGGAAGAGACGGTTTGAATTTTGGTTTTGTTGGTTTCGGACACTTGGTCGATTTCTTGGAGAGAGAGTTGAGGGTTCTAAAGAATCCAGTTTTTGGAGTCTCCAGTTCCAGGTCGAGTGATGGGCATGGAAGTCAGAAGGTCAACGCGGTCACGTTCAGCGGGGCTAGGCCTAGTTGTTCATTCTGCAAGGGTAGCCATCATCTTGATCTGTGTGATAAACTCCGCTTCCGACCTTATAGCGAGAGAAAGACATTCATACAGGAGAGGCGACTCTGTTTTGGATGCCTCCAGCCTGGTCATCAAGCCCGCTTCTGCAAGTCCCGACTTACTTGTCAGGTTTGTGGGTCCAGACATGCGTCTTTGCTGCACAGGACGGCCGACCAGGGGACGGCTGCCAGGGCAGTGGGAGCTGCCGACTCGCCTGCACCTGGGGCTGAGGTGAGGCCAAAGGTTGTCAGCGCGGGTGTCGGCGTGCAGCCCGTCAGCGGCGCCAGTGCGACAATGATGCCGGTACTACCAGTCAGTTTGAGAGGTAAGGGAGGGAGAGAGGTGCTCACTAATGCCTTTCTGGACCAGGGAAGCTCAGGAAGCTTCATCACGTCACGATTGGCCGGGCAGTTGGGACTTGACAAGGAGGAGGTGTCTATCAGGATTGACACGGTGACTGGGGTAGGTCAGGAGGCCAGATCCGCGGTGATGCGTGGAGCCGAGGTCAGTCCGATTGGCTCTGATGAGTGTTTCGCCTTGCCGCCCCTTTTCACCTTGGACTCGATTCCTGTTTCGCTTCAGGACCGATGTGAGGGCGCTGACCGGAACCAGTGGGAGCATTTGGCTGATTTGCCGATGTGTGAGCTGGAGGCGCCGGTGGAGGTGATGATCGGATCTAACGCCGCCCCTCTCCTCGCAGCTAGAGAGGTTCGGTTACCACCGGCGGGAGTGGGACCTGTCGGAGTGAGGACATGCCTGGGATGGTACGTGATCGGTCCGCGTCGTCCCGGGGCAGGCGGTGATTCTCGATTTTGGGTGAACTTCCTTCGTGTCTGTGAGCCCAGGTCGGGTTCGCGAGAGGACTTGGTTGACATGTTCAACAGCATGTACGAATCAGAGTTCGGTGATGTTTCAGAGGAGTCTGAGCAGTTCTCGGTTAGTGATTGTCAGTGGCTGAAAGAGGTCAGTTCAACTATCCGTAAGGATGACGAGAACCACTATGAGGTGGCTCTTCCAGAGGTGGAGGTAAAACGATCTATTCGTGTCTGTCAGGCTGCCCTAGCTGATGTGGAGGGCGGTCCTTCCGATGCCTTGGTGAGGCACTACTCCTCTTTCTACAGGCTGAAGAGGGCAGTGGCATGGCTGCACCGGTTGGGTGAAGTCATCAGATCGGGTGCGTATCGGAGGTTTTGTGTAGCGCGACGTAAGGGTCTGCGGGTGAGGAAACCCGACTTTCGCGTGGTTCTGGAGCTGTCAGACCTTCAGAAGGCGGAGATGGCGGTGTTACGGTACGCACAGTGTGCTATGCCAGAGTATCCGGGAGGGCTGGTCGCTGATGGTCCGTTAGTTGTGAAGAAGGGCAGTTCATTGAGTTCTCTCGCACCTCAGATGAGTGACGGCCTCCTGGTTGTCGGAGGTCGCTTGAGTTCCTCGCCCTCTCTTTCAGAGCGCTCGAAACACCCGGTCATTTTGCCCAGACGGCATCACGTGGCTCGGCTGCTCTTGAGAGACGCTCACGTGGCAGCAGGTCACCAAGGGAGAGACCACACGCTGTGGAAACTCCGAGAAAGATACTGGATCGTAGGAGCGAGCTCAGATGTCCGAAAGATGATCAGGTCATGTGTGGTTTGCCGAAAGGTAAACGCTCGTCCACAGGAACAGCTTATGGCTAGTCTTCCCGAGAGTCGGGTGACGGCTGGCACAGGCGCGTTCGAGAAGGTAGGGTTGGATGTGTTTGGTCCGTTTTTGGTGAAGTCTGGGAGGGGTGAGAGAAAGCGCTTCGGGCTGATGTGCACTTGCCTGGTTACCAGGGCAGTGCATGTGGAGGTGCTGTGTTCGTTGACCGCCGATTCCCTCATTAACGCTGTCCGCCGGATTTCGGCACGGAGGGGAGCAATTCGATACGTTATCAGTGACCGTGGGACCAATTTGGTTGGTGCAGATAGAGAGCTTCGGGAAGCTCTGAGGGAGGTGGACTATGACAGGCTGCACGGTGAATCTGTGAAGCACGGTATTCACTGGGAGTTCAACCCCCCGACTGCATCACATTTCAGTGGAGCTACCGAGCGTCAGATTAGAACGTTTAGAAAGATTATGCGTAGCATGCCTCAGCAGAGACTGGACGATGAGACTCTTCAGACTCTTTTTTGTGAGATTGAGGCCGTCATCAATAGTAGGCCCCTGAACTACGTATCGACGAGTGACGGAAATGTGGAGCCGATAAGCCCAAATCATTTGCTGCTGCTACGTGGAAACGCTAGCGGCGAACCGGGTGAGTTCTCGGAGAACGACTCGTTCTCCCGGCGTAAGTGGAGGCATGTACAGTACTTGGCGAGCCAGTTTTGGCGCAGATGGCTCGCTGAGTACGTGCCCACGCTGCAAGTCCGCCAGAAGTGGCGGCAGGCAGGTAGGAATCTTCAGACAGGAGATATTGTTTTGGTTTTAGATAAGGACCTTCCGAGGGGAAGCTGGCCCCTGGGAAGGATAGTGCGAGTCTTTCCCAGCGCTGATAGGTTAGTGAGAAAGGCTTTGGTAAGAACCAGCACTTCAACGTATCTGAGGCCCATCCACAAGATGGTGCTAGTCCACTCGGACTCTGATTTAGACTGGTAAGTTTATCAGGAATGGTTAGAGGGGTTAGTGTTTAAGTCAGGTGTAGATTGCTGCCTTGTCATATTTCCTACGGGGGAGAGAGGCTGTGGTCTTTCCTTTTGTGCTCTCCGTTTCCTTGATCACGAGTGACCGCGGACATTCACACTGATGTTGAGCTGGTGAGCGCCCGTGCTAGGTTTCAGCAGAGAGCTGAAAGAGGGGAGTGTAAGGGCGCTTACCGTTTTGACGGTTGGTAGTTGACTATTGTCCGCGCCCAACGCCACCTACGTCGAGTACAGAGATGCGTTGGAGATATAGAGGTCAGCACCTGCTAGGGTTTGTGATTGATGACGAGAATAGATGGGCGTGGTCGCGTATTTTTAGTTAGAATATCTATGTGGTGCTTAAAATTGTCTTTGCAGTAAAATGTTCGGTGCATTTGTCTTTATTTATCGCGAAAAGTTTATTCGAGAAAAGGTTTCTGTCCGAAAATGTTGTCGGTTATTCTGCTGGCCCTGTGTAGTAATAGAGCTGAAGGAGGATGGTTATCGATGTAAACAAAGGGAATATTTTCATGTTTCTGCACAAAGTAGCCTTGAGATGTATTTTGGGTATTTGCGATACTTCTCTTTTTTCCCGAGTGCTAATTTGGGAATGACCGATTCGCGCTTCGTAGATGTTTGTGGTAATATTGCGTCGGAGGTGTTATCGGTTTCTGTATGGCTCTCGGTGTCACTTTGGATTTTGGATTGGTTTGGTGTATTGGCGCGGCGTGCTCTGTAAGTATTTGTGTATTTTTGGACGTAAATTTGCTGGATTATGTTACGATCTTATGTCACTTTTTATTCATGGATGTCATTGTGTAACTTTCTGCGATAAACTGCGACTATGATCCATTTGTATGTCAATTACCGTAGATTCATTGTTTGCGCCATGTTTTCCGTCTGCGCCACTTTCGTCAACGTGGTTCATTTACCTGTCCAGGTGTATCACACGTACTGGCCGCACGCCTTTGGGTGCTCGACTTGGTTTGGAGCGAACTGTGACTCGCCGACTTGGCCCGCTGGGCTGGTGGCCCGCCTTGGATCGGCGATTTGGTTTGGAGCGTTGGTGTTCGCCTGATGTTCGTCGGAGACCCCATTCTGATGGTACGGGTTTATGTCTATGGTAGTATATAAATCTAACCAATAGCTTGGTATATGTTGCTTGGTCTATGGATTCGTACGTGTCATTGTGTGCAGTTAAAGAATATTGGAACAATTTGGTACTCGTATCTTGGTATTGGATACTTGCACATGAATAGTTGGGAGGTCAGAATGAGAGATTGATCAGTGGCGATGGCTGGTGCTTGGCTTGGTGTGAGCTTGGTGCGAGCTTGGTGCTTGGTTTGACAATTTTTTTTTCTTTCTTTCATCTACGTGTTTTTGCTTCCGCAGAAACCTCAGCCAAATACAGCGAGTGTTGATCATCAAGGTCTTTGGTGGCGAACAGCAAATACAGGGGGGCACCTTGCTATTGGTGCCCCCCTTGCAGAATTCAAGGGGGGGCACGGTGCCCCGGTGCCCCCCCCCGTTCCGCCGCCTATGTTGCTAGCACAATCAAGAAAATCCAAAAATATATGATAATGTATTCAGGCGTTTATCATCGGTGATGAGCGTTCATGAAACTGTGCAAAGAAACGAACTGTCAAAGTGGAAGGCTGCAGCTTAGTTAGTAGAGGTAGCGGCCGTAGAAGGGCAGGTGGGCGGAGCTGTAGCCGTACGAGAAGCCAGAGGCCGGACGGATGGCAGGCACGCCCGCGTAGAAGGACGGAGCCACACCGGCGTAGCCCGAGTAGAAGGTCGGGGCGTAGCCGGAGTACACAGCCGGGGTGTAGACGGGGCCGTCGGTGTCGGGGGCGGCGTCGGCAGCGGCGGCGGCGGCGGCGTACAGGCGGGCGTGCTCGGCCTTGGCGGCGACCACCTCGGGGGTGTCGCTGACGGGCAGAGGCGCCACGGCGCTGCGCTTCTTGCGCGCGTCAGGGGCGGCATCAGCGGCGGCGGCAGCCTCGTTGTACAGCCGCTGGAACTCGGCCTTGGCGGCCTTCACCTCGGCAGTGTCGTCGACGGGAGCCGGGCCGACCAGCGAGTGCACGGGCGCGGCCAGGTCGGCCTTCGGGGTCACCGGCAGGTTGGTCGCCTTCACGCGGAAGCCGGCGGCGTCGGCCACGTAGCTGACCGTCTGGACGATGCCGTTGGCGTCCCTGTAGCTGTACGAGCCGACGGTACCGCCGTAGGCGTTCTTGTTCTCGTGCTTGGTGCTCAGGCCGTCAGCGTAGCCGTAGCTGTAGCTGCCAAGCTCGTCCTGGGCGTGGTACTGAGAGCTGACGGAGGCCGGCACGGGGGCGGCGTACGTGGTGTACGGAGCGTACGAGAACGGGGCGGCGTTGTAGGTCGTGTACGGGGCAGCAGCCGTGTAGGTCAGGGGATGGGCATTGTAGGTGTTGTAGAGAGGAGAAGCGAGACTGTACCCGGCGGCGTACGGGAATCCCGCGTAGCCATACCCAGCGTAGGGCAGGTACTGGGCTGCCGCAGCGGCCAGGACAGCGGACACATACACCTGCAATGAAACACCAAAATTGTAACTTTACTTTTGGTGGACCCAAAAATAGTTGAGTTTTACCACCTGTTTTCAGTTATCTTCGCATGTAATCAATATTGGTTTGAAAGCAATTAAAACAGCGAATGAATATAAACATCTAGCTCAAATCACTAAAACCTTAAGAAATTGGCAGCGAGCACGGATTATATAGTCAATAGTAAAGGCAGTTACAACGTATTTTGATATCTCATTTGGTTTTATTACAACCAAACTCGTCTGTCCACTCACCAGGACTTTCATGGTTGAACTCGCTGGTGACTGTGGTGTGTGAGGCCCGGTGGAGGCCGGTTTTATACCGCGTTGGAGCAGCCCCCGGAGGCAGGCAGGCGGGAGGAGCCACGCCTGTCTAGGAACACCAGACTGACCGCCGTGCCGTGGGCCACAGGCGCTACCACAAAGGGACATTTAAATACCAATTCTAATGGGATGACCACACATCAGTATCGCTCGTTTTTACGTTTGCTGAATTATTATTTTTATTGTCCCTATAGATAAGAGTTACCTACTACATGACAAATTTCCATGTGGATCCATTCTTTGTATATACGAAGAAATCTAAATGCCTTTCACTGGCTTATTTTCGTACCTAGTCTGCTACAGAAGATCAGAGGCCAGGTTTACCAACAGAAAAATAGCCACCTGCCAGAATTTTTTGCCTAAAGACCTCTGCACATACGGAGCGTAAACCGTAAAGTTCTATCTGCTTACTTGCCTATCAAGTTCACGCTCCGTATGTGAAGCGGTCTTTATGCAAAAAAACAATCCGGCAGGAGGCTATTTTTCTGTTGGTAAATCTGGCCTCTGATCCTTGTTCACTTAGCAAAACGTGTGAAGAGGTATAAGCTGCAGTCGCTGATGAGTGATGACTGAATCAGCACTTTCCGAGTGTTCAATGTCTCATGAATAACTGATGCCTTGATAATACAATTTCGAGAAAAAAATTATCTTTGACTGGGGAACCGCCTATCATAGCTTCCTTCTGTTTATTCTGCAATATTATTATGTAACTAAGTAAAAGACGAATCAACAAGCAACTCAAATTTCCTCCCATACATTTGGGTACTGTGTTCAAAGAACTTTTCGTATGTAGCTATCATCGATTAGCCAAAAGATACGTTTGAGTTACGCTCATCAAACAATGTCGATATTCAATAACTTTTTACACTTATCACTGCACTATGAGCGCAGTTTCTAACATAAATCCTATAGAGCACCAGCTTACGCGCAGATTTTGTGAGCCGGGAGCTTAGCACTAATCTCGTCAAATCGGATAAGATAAAATATGTTTAACCCTCGGCAGACCTATTGGTTTTCTACATAGGACGCCAGCCGAGTGGGGGGGGGCGGGTACGCCCCCCCCCCCTTCGCCGTTTCGCCCTTGGTGGAGCTAGCGCGTCGCGGAAAAAAACGAGCGTGTGCGCCGTAACGAGACGCAGAGATTGATATCCCGATTCTAAGGACCTAGGTCAACCGTTGACCTCTGAGGTCAGGTCAAGTGCCCCAAGCCCCGGTTCCGTTTTTGGTGAATTCCTTCGCAAAAAAACGGCTGCAGAGCCGCGATCTTGGCAGCATCGTGTTCGCCTTGCTCAGGCGCGTCGAATGATGTAATTTCTGTTTGGGTGAGGTCAGCTTAGGGTGTTGACCTCGAGTCACGGTCAGGCCACAGCGCACCCAGGTCACGAAATTGGTCGAAAGGGGTCATGCTGCTTATCATTCGATTCGGGAGGTCTTCTTGAGTCCATTGGTGGCTTTTCCGACTTGCTAGCTCAATTTGATCGGGAGGTATTGACGAAAAACTACTATGACCCTATGACGTTGTAAATTACGTCACGCAAGGCCAATATTGCAAAAGTGACGCATCAAACCTTGCAAGGAATGCATAAAATCATGATTCTGTGTGGTTGAGATGGTTGAAGCTCGTTCCCGGCGCCAGAATAGCCGTTTTCATTTTTTCCCTTGACTATGGTGAGGTCACGAAAATGGCCTGACCTCATATGACTTTTAGGAAAAATCCGAGATATACACGTTGTGAGACTCATAATGGATACCTACTAGATCCTGCAAGTTTCATTTCCCTGTGAAAGCTCCTCTGGCAGTGAGGGCGTTGCGAAGTTGCGACATCTGAAGACCGTGCAGAGGCACACTTATGACGTCATAGGTCAGTGACCTGACATGACCCGAAAACGTGATTGGTATCCAAAGATCCGGCTTGAATAAACGGCCAGGTATGTAAAGTTTCAGCTCTCTATCACCAGCGTGTTCGGAGCTATCGCAAAAAAAAACTATGGGGAGCGGCAGGCGCCGCCCCTTCCCCCCCCCCTCGGCCGGTGAGGGTTAAAATGACTCTAGGCAAAGTCGCGTATGTTATGTGGTGTTTAACCCGCGCCCCGCTGGGGGGGGGGCAGAATCTGCCCCCCCTCCCGTTTTTCGCCAATAACTTCTAAACGCGTTACGCCAGCGACGTCAAACTTTCAGTACCTTATCATACATCAATTTGACACGTTCCCTGAAAATTTGAGCGAAATCCATCGGAAAATTTTTGAGAAATTGACGTTTTAGTGACGTCATGTTCGCCATTTTCGCCTCAAAAACGGCAAAATTTCAAACGCCGCTAACATCTTCATTTTTAAAGGAATCAAGACGTAACAAAAAAGGTTATACGTGATTCTTCTTTGTCTATCAAATGGCTATCTCGGTTTTTTGAAAATTTTTGGATTTTGGCCAAAATTGTTCCAAAAAACTGACTTTTTTGGGAAAATATTTATAAAATCCAAAATTTTGAGTTTATCGAAAAAACCGGAATATATGTCAAAGAAATGGTCTATGTGCACCTACATACCAATTTTTAGAAGAATCGGTTCAAAAATGTGGGAGTTATTCAAAATTTTATGACGTCACGACGCACAAATTTTTTGAAAAATGATTTTTTGGGAAGTTCTAGACCTCGTACGGAAACAAAAATAGCACCATTCGATTCGCCGTGAAAAACTGCATCGGATAGACACCTTTTTAGGCCTTAACAACCAACTTCAAAATTTGACCTCACTTGACCTGACCTTGACCTGACCTCGACCTGAAATTCATCCAGAGGTGGTCCATATCACTTATTGAGTGTGCCTATTGAATTCCATGAGTAAAATGACCCATAAAACATGTGTCGCACATGCCCTTTTCTATATTTTGTTTTTGGTGACCTGACCTGACCTGACCTGACCTTGACCTTGACCTTTGAATGACATTGTGTGCAACGAATATTGTCTTGGTAGTCTAAGAACACGTTTTGGGCAATCAGTCTCAGTCCATTCTTCGGCAACTACGGTGCAAGGCCGATACTGTAGAAACTTGCATTTTGTACCCTTGACCTGACCTTGACCTGACCTCTGACCTACTTAAGCAAAAAAATTTGGGCTCTTAAGATCCGCCTTGTTGAGAGCTTTCGATTGCCGTTTTCCCCGTCTTTCTACGACCATCGGTTCGGAAGTTAGACAGGGGGGGGCAGAATCTGCCCCCCCCCAGCAGGGCGCGTATGGCTGAATAGCCCAGCGGGGCGCGGGTTAAGTAATCCTCAAATAAAATGTGGTACATTTTTTCTATCCACCCGGTACCTATAATTTTAGAAATGTTAAATTGGCAAAAAGCTAGACTGACATGTTCTCTCATGCAAATAAATTGGATCTAGCTTAAAAATGAGCTCTTGAGAGCGATTGCCGTAGTGCAATGCTTTGCACCAAAATCGTCCGAGTATGCCATCACTATGGTGTCATTTCCGGCCAATCTATAGCAGCTGCATTTTTATGACATAAAGTGTCACAATGATTCAGTTGAAGGTACTGCAAGTTGTGTTGACACGTCCAGCGATTTAGAAGATGTTGCAGAAAAACGGAAGGGAGGCTACTACCCCCCTCGGCCTAGGGTTAAAATGACTTTAGGTAAAGTCGCGTATGTTATGTGATGTTCTAGTAATTCTCAAATAAAATGTGTTACCTTTTGCCTTTCCACCCGATACCTATAATTTTAGGAATTTTAAATTTGCAAAAAGTGAGACTGACGTTTGATAGCCTTATGTATGTTGAGGTATGGTATTGGTATTTTTGGCTTACGGGCCACCACAGGGTCCTGTATTTGGGCCCCGTATCTGTATGTTGAGTTCTTTCATGCAAATAAATTGAATCTACATAGCTTAAAGGGAGATAATGAGCTTTCTTTTTTCTTAAATAAAAATTACTCGACATCTATACTATTTCTACTGTAGTTTCTTCAAAATATGAAAATTTCCTAGCACATTTTCGGATGTGAAAAAGGTTTTATTTTTGCAAAAAAGAAGCAGTACTTGCAGTACTTGTAACACCCACCGAAATGCGTTGTCCTTCTCTATAAAAAAGTCGCAGTATATGGCGCTTTTGTTTCAAACAGCGACGCTTGGGTTTTTGTTTATGTTATCGCCTTGTCGTTGCTTGGTTGTAAGGAGTCTAATTTGAATTAGAGTTAATTCGGTTTAGAATTAATTAGATTCTAATTCGGGGGTACATAGTGCCTACTCTTCTTTGTTTCAAAGTATTATTTTGCGCCACAAATGAACGGCAAGCGCCAGAAACGCAGCCAAATCTTGCGATTGCGACTACGAAATTCATTATTTTGGCCTCAGAGCCTGAAGCGAAAAATACAAGCATATTTATTTCAAAAAGACTTCAGGTTTGTCGAACGGTGTTATGAGAATTTTGATAACAGTACTGCATAAGTTTTTCAGTGATGCCGCGAAAGTGTTGTATCTATCTTCTTTTATTGTGCAGTCGGCGGGACCGATTCAAAATTGAGTCGTTGCTACTAAAATAGCAGCATATGGCGACAGATGATGAACAGGAAAAATAGTTGCGTAAATTTAGACATAAACCACCCCTAAACCATGAATATCTTTTGAAGGCACTATAGACGACCATTAACTAACTAGATGTGATGAA